TTGTTTATAGTCGTCTTTAAATAATAAATGAATAGAAATAAGTATTGGATAAGTTACTTATAGATCTCGCAAAAGATGTGGATGAAGTAGTTTGATTGATTATAAACATGTTCCAAACAATATACTACTCTATATCCCTTGTGCAATATAGTCTCCATTCGAATTTTGGTGCAAATGTGCATATTTTCCTAACTGGAAGTTAGGGACCAGTTTTGCAGGGGTTCTATAAGTGAGGGACCAAATGTGCTAATTTTCCTGGCTATAACTGATGGGTTCATTTTAAATTAAATTAATTTGATCTGTGTAAGAATTGAAAACCATGAACAATTCACAAAATTATTATCCGCGATATAAATATTAAAAACTTTTAATTGTCATAATCAAAATATTACTTCAGTAAAACTACAAATGTTGACTACTCTTCGAATTTTTTAGGATAATTATATTCACACTATAATTTTGATTTTTTTACATCGTATTCTAATTGTAGTTAAGGTTCTTAATCTTTGCTTATTATAGCACTTATGTCTCTAATATTTTTTCATATCATTCTTATTCTAAAACTTTTTATTAGTTAACGCATTTTGTATTTAATGACAGTTTTATGTCCAAAAATTCGTTGAAATTGCATAAAACAACTTATTTTTTTCATTATAGTTTTAAAAATAAATAAATAAAAAGGGTGAAGTTCTATTTCCCCTCATTTCGAAGCATGGAAACAATATATTTAGATATAAATCATCATCAAGGACGAGAGTACTAATTCATGTAAGATTAAAGATAAGAACTCGATGGAAAAAGTAAAGAAATAATTGCTACAATAAGCAAAAATTAAAGAGTTTAATTGAAATTAAAATGTGATGTAACAAATAAAAATGTCAATATAACTACCTAAAAAATATATTCCATAAAGTGTATAATAATATAAAAAGTTACTTTATTTGATTTTGCGTAAATTCTAGGCAAAACTTGTTAACAGGAGCATGAATTTTCATTTGTCAACTTTGAAATGTTGAGGAAAAAAATCTAAAAAGGTTTTTTCAATTTAACTTTTTAAAACATTTTTTAGGTTTTTGTTCGAGCTCAAGTTGCATGGAAGAGTGCATAAAGAAGTCTAAAATTATTTTACTCGTTTAACTTGGCATGATTGAAATAATAGTTGAAACTTAAAAGTTGTACAAGATCGAAAGATGAGAAGACAATATGGTCCTCCAAGTTGTGACAGAGAATTAAAAAAAAAAAAAAATCGTGTACAAAAAATACATAAATTATTACAAATTGATTTTTATGAAATAGAATTGACTTGCTTGAGACTTTTGATTTTTCTCGAACACTTTTTTCTCTTTGACCTTATGTTTTATTTATAGAGAATTTGGTAACCATCCACTTTTTAATTTTAATTTATCTTATTTAAGTTTAATGGATTAGAAAAACGAGAATGCCCTGCGTACAGGGCATTCTCTCACAGGGTGCCTACAGGCCCCTCACTGTGCGGGGGGGCCAACCTGTATTAAAAAAAAAAAATTATTGTGGAGCCCACCATGTGTGTCTTCCCTGGCAGGGGCCTGTAAAATCAGGCCCCTGTACCTGTAGCACTGCTCTTAGAAAAAGTAGTAGGATAGGACAGACTTCTTTGCGTAGGATGGGCTTTAGTGGACTTTGATTTCAATAGAATAAATGGACTAATTATTTAAAATTGACTTAGTCCATTTGATTTATTAATTTTTAGTTGTCTAAATGGACGAAATCAATTAAAATTTTAACAAGTCAATTTACAATCTCTACTTGGACCTCCATTCTTTGCTTTGGCATTCAACTCCCCAAACTTTGATTTGTGTGCACTTGAGTCCATTTGGATAGAATCTGTTAAGAAGTCAGGTGCCATGCACGTCACATGTTTTTCTAAGCCCCTGTTTGGATTCCATTTTATTGAAAACGCATTTTTTCTAATTTTTTTAATCACACATTCTCTAATAAAATAATAAACACGTAAATTAAAAATTTTTATTTATTTTTAACCACAAATTTTTAATAAAAATCACCATTCTAAAATACATTTTAATGGAGCGCAAATAGGGAGAAGGATATTTTATCCGACCATCTTAATTTTTTAAAACAATTAAAAAAAAACACCATTCTAAAATACATGTTGATGAGGCCCAAATAGGGGTTAAGGATATTTTATCCAACCATCTCAATTTTCTAAAACAATTAAAAAATAAATAAAATCAAACAAGACAGAGAAGTGGAGGAAAAAAGATAAAAACTATCTAAAGAGAAAAACTAAGCTCTTGTTTGAGTTACATTATTTTCCTTATAATGCATTTTTGAATAGTTTATTGATGAGAAATGTGTGGTTAAAAAATAAAAAAAAATTTTAAATTTGCGTATAATATTATTTTATTGATGAATATGTAGTTGAATGATACCAAATCATTGTTTAAGAATGTATTTTTTGAAAAAGTGTGGCTCAAAAGTAGTTATTAGAATATGATATGATTATTTTCTTCTTTATTTTTAACCGTCGAACGACGAATCTTTGTATATTTGGAACTTTAAATCTTAGCCTGGTATGGTTTGAGGTCTTAAGGGCTCTTTTTTAAGATTTTGGATTTAAATGCTTACTCGTGTAAAGGTTAGGGACCTGAGGTCTACTTTTCCCTAAAAAATATGCAATTTCAAGGTGTAGATTGAAAATAGTATCTATTGATAAACCATTATAATTTATCTATTAGACAATGTAGCTCAAGAATCACAAGTCAAAGATCCATTTATTTCTCAACTTATGGTATAAAAAATTCCCGACTCTGGGTTTTCGTCTTCGTCTTCGTCTTCGTCTTCATCCCGTTTCTCGGGGGGAAAAAATCTGAATATCTTTCGGAATGGGAGATTCTTTTGTGTGTTAGAGAGAGATTGCTGTGTGATCTTTCGCATTAATCAATTAGAAGTTGAAATTTTCTGAATTGATTTTTTATTTGTTCTAAATAAGGAAAAAAAATGAGGAGAAACTTGAACACATTTGAAGATAATGGCGAGAAGTAGTAGATCGTCGTCGAGCACGTGGAGATATATAAATCCGGCGTATTATTTGAAGAGACCAAAACGATTAGCGTTGCTGTTTATAGTATTCGTCTTCGGCACCTTAGTTGTTTGGGATCGCCAGACTTTAGTACGCGAGCATGAGGTAATATTACGTTAACA